ATGGAGGCCACGCACTTGCCCTCAATAAGTACACTGCTACAGCGGATGCACACGTACACAAGGCTGATGTCGCGGAGGAAAGGGAGGAGAGAGGTAGTGGCGAGAGGAGGGAGGAGAAAGGAGGAGGAAGGAGGGAGGACGAGGAGGTTTTGGGTTAGCCTCGCGCGTGTCTACTCTGAAGGGGCAGAAGGTAAGAAAGGGATAAAAGGAGGGATAGAGAAACAACACAGAGTAGTATAATGATAATAATAATACTACTAAAAATAATAATACTAATAATAATATTATAATAATAATAATAATAATAATAACAATAATGATAATAATGGTAGTAGTCGTAATCATAATAATGACAATAAAAATACACTGCCGGAGGTCCGTGCGGATTTCTTGGATCGGCGCTGGCCCCCCCTTGCGGCACCTCTAGCGACGCCCCTGGCCCACGGAGCACCCTAGGGAGAGGGTTCCAGCGCCGACCCAAGAATTCTGATCGACCTCCGAACACCTGTGATCATATTTGACATGTGCTCGGCCTGCGGCTGTTCACCACCGAAGGGCGGATGCCGAAGCGTGCGCTCCGGTGTCACACTGAAGGGGCCCCAGGACACACACACACACACACACACACATAAATACACACAAATAAAAATATTCCCCATATGTTCCCATATTTTCTGGGTTTCTGTCTTCCCCCCCCACTTCCCATATTTTCCAATATTTTCTGCGGAATCGACGATTAATTGTGTCTGTGTGTTTCTTTTCCTCCTGACACACGCTCTTCCATCCGCCAGGGGGCAGATCCCGCCGGAAATGGGTCACGGAGCGAAACACATGCGGAACAGAACGGGCCACGCCAACAAAGACGTGAGACCCTTTTGTGCCCTTGTGCGCGGGCAGGCCCGAATAGTTCTGCGGCCGCTTTGCAGAATGCAAGCAGCCACCCGTTGCAGGCTTCACGCCCGGAGACAAGTTCCCGTGTGCTGCTCTCGACGGGTCCAGTCCAGTCTCCTCCCCTCGTCCAGTCTCATCTCCTCCCACCTCCCCCCCATACGACCCCGCGAGCGAAAGCGCAGGGCGCGAGCCCGCCGAACACGATGTAGAGGTCGTTCGTCACGCAAGCGCTGTGGCAGAATCGGGGCGAAGGCGGCTGACCCACGCAGCCGGGCGCCTGGGCGGGCGGCAGAGAAGGGCCCACGAGGAGGGGAGGGCCGAGGCACCGGGGGAGGAGGGGCGCGGGGGGCGGGGAGGAGCGAGGAGGGCGAGGATGAGGGAGGAGCAGGAGGGTGGAGGGAGAGGAGAAGGAGGAGGAGGAGGAGGAGGAGGAGGAGGAGGAGGAGGAGGGAAGAGGGGGGAGCAAGAATGAGGAGGAGGAGGAGGAGGAAAATGAGGAATAGAAAGGAGGAAGAAGGAGCCGGGAGGAGTGGAGTGGTGAGGAGGAGCAGGGGGAGAAGTGATGCGGAGGGGGACGGAACGGAGCAACAGCAGGAGCGGCGGCCACAGGAGAAGCAGAAAGATGGAGACACATATGTGCGTATCAAGATCGGGAGGAAGGGGACGGTGGAGCAGAAGAAAGGACGAGCAGCAGGCGGAGAAGGAGCGGAAAGAGAAGCCTGCTCGACCCAACCTGGGCCACCCGCGAACGTCGCCATGGGCACGACAGCACGAACGCTAGAGTGGGCGTGGAAGTAGCAAGACGAGGGAACAGCAACAGGAACTGGAAGCCGAGGAGCACTGACAACATTAACTGGGAAGGGGGGGCATGTATAAGACAACACATTGGCATAAACAGAAGCTGTGGGAAGTCGGCGCAAACCTCCAAAAGAGTATGTGTATGCTGTTCCGGAAGGGAGAGGCGGGGAGGAGAAAGGGAGACACGCGAGGAGGAAGAGGAGGAGGATGAGGAGGGGTGGGCAAAAGGAGCACGGCGAGCGAGGAACGCGAAGGAATGAGAACGAGGGAGCAAGCAGAACAAAGCAAACACGACGCTGAACATGAGGACATGCAAGGGGATGGTGCAGGAGGAGCACGCGACAGTGAAGGGCACGACCGCGCTCGCGTGCAACAGTGAGACGACAAAAGAAACCACTACTTAGGCGTTGACGAGAAGGTCGAGACCGTTCTCGACAACCCTTCCCTCCCTCCGCCTCTCCTCGGCCGCCCCCCAGCCCCCACCGCCAGTTCCACAGCCTCGTCTCGCGTGAGGCCGTACAGCGCGAGGCCGCGCGCCATGTTCGCCGCGGGGCTCTGGCGGCAGGACGAAGGTACAGGGGCCCGAACTTGTTTCGGGGGCCCCTCGAGGCCTCTGGGACCAGGCGGCGAAGAACGGGGTCCAGTCGTCGTCCCTGACCTCGAAGGATGAGCCCCCCACACGGGCCATACAAGACTTTGACGAGTTCCTTTTGGGCAGAGTAGACGCCACATCCAAACTTGTTAAGTCCAAGCTGGTGCTGCTCCCCTGCGTGTGGCTTGGCGACTTGCACTCGTGGCGGAGGTTGCCACGCTTCGACCGAGAGTGCGCCACGCAGCCGCAGCGCGTGCGAACCAAGGGAGGATCATGAGAAGTCCGGCCGCCATCTTCGCAGATGTCTCCCAGCTCGGGCAGGTGCGCTCTCGGGCGCCGAGTGCGAACCTCCGATGGGACCTCGGGGCTGCCCAGGAGCTCGGACCTAGAGGACCCAGGGGCAGCAAGCGAGCGGCCCCACCCTCGGCCTCCTCCCTACGGCCCTCCACCCCCGAGCCGCTTCCAGGAAGGGGAAGGCCAGGGATGGGGGATGGAGAAGGATGTAGCCTAGCCGTTCCAATCGAAAGTGCTCCTGCAGCGTCAGTTCTCTGCGCTCAGCTTGCTTGCTGGCACAATATTTGGCGAACCTGCGCACGAAGTCAGCACGCCCAGGGACTAAAAAGCGGTCGTCGCTGCTAAGACGGAATTGCTCAGCTCCTTCCTTCGCTGACCGAGCCCCGAATCACTGCAATCCCAGGATATTCTCGTCGCGCACGTCCTTGCTCGAGGTGCGCGGCGGGACTGAAGAGACAAAACTTGAAATTGAGAGGAGGGCTGTCCCGTCTCCAGCGGCGTCTCCCGACCTGCCCGCCTTCTGGAGCCGCATTGATGGCACCACCGACATCGACGGGGCCCCTGGGCTCGCTCAGCACATTTGCGAGCTCCCGCCACTCGCCGTTGTCGATGCCTCTCCGAACGGCTCGATCTCTCCAGCCGATCCGCGTGGGTGGTTGTGTCCCGGCTCGCACTCGGCCGTCCTAGCCTCGCCTCCCCAAGTGGCTCTAGCCTCGGCGCCACCAGAACAGCCCGGCCCGGGCAGGACAACCGTCTCCGAGATCGGCCTCGTTATGGCACCTGCAGCCGCCGCTGTCGAGCTCCTCCGCGATCCGCTCCTGGAATCATCAGGCCCACGCATGTTCGATCCGACGCGAAAGAGAAGATCGATCCTGCAACACCTTCCACACGCCACCAGAGCTGTACGAATGCTCGGGCCCTCCTGCTTGGACGGCTTGGATGATGCTGACGCCGCCGACGCTAGCTGCTCTCCTGTCGCCACGGCCCCGTCAAGTCTGCGGGTGCCAGGTCCGTCTCCCGTAGCGGACTTTTCAACGTCCACCTTCCTCTCTTTACCAGTCATTATGTCCATGTGTCGCTCGGGACATCGATGTACGATTTCACGTGCTCCAACGCTCCTGTGAACACCTGGCCGATCGCCGACTGGATGTGCTTGGCTGCCTCCGTCTCACGTGTGTCTAACTCTTGCTGCCTCGCGTCTCCAATCCGTATTATGCGCGTCTGTTTCTGTGCCCGAGAAATCATCCACTGTGAAAACACCCTTGAGCTCGATTGATCCGTCCACAAGCTCACGGGTGCTGATAGACGGCAAGGCTGATTCCGCTTTCGCACCTGCAGTCGTATGCTGCTGCATGTCTGCCAGTGCCGCGCTGATCTCTGTATCTGCTTTCTCGAGCTCAGCCTGGAAATCACCGATCGAAGCCACCAACTACACCTGCGCACGACTCCACGTCTCCAACTTCGTGAACTCTGCGTCCATCTTCTTTTCGAGATGCTCGCTTATGTTCCGCTTGTTGCCGTCTCTGCCGAGGAAATGAGCTGTGGGTTCAGATGCCGTTGGCCGTGCTGCCAATGCACTGTACCGTTTCGCCCCCCCGCTCGCCGCCAGCTGCCATTGCCAGTGTCGCCAACTCATTAGCTCTGCCTGCTGGTACCGTGATCACGGGTCCAGGCGGCAGAGCCAATCCTCCCCCCTAGGCCGAGCATGGGCCACTGTTCTCCCTTGCCTTTTTCCACCGCCGTCTCTCCCTTGCTGTCCGCCCTTCTTCCCCATCCTCCACGTCCCCCCGACTCGCCGACAAACTTGCCGTCTGTCTCGCTGGAGGGTCGCACGAGGGACGAGTCGCAGTGCTCACAACACGGGATACGAACGTGGTTGTCCTTGCATCCGCAACTGGCGCACACCAACCACTTAGTTCCACCAGCCGCCCTCGTCCGCAGTGTGACGTGCCCACTGCGTAGTTCTCGGACACTGGCCAACCATGGCTGTGGGCCTGTGGGCTCCTCAACACCTCCGACGACGCTATTCAACCCATGGCGAAACAATAGTCCAACGGGTAGGACCACCCGCATCTCGACCACTCCCGCCTGTATGATTATGCTGCCCTCAGGGTATGAGGGCACTCGCTTCGGTCCGAGCCAAATCTGGCCCCGCAACAGCGATGCCGTTCTGAAGCTCGTTGTTGCAAGCCTCAAACCTGAGGCCAGAACGGCTGGTCCAGAAGGAGCAGGACGAGCAGGAGGAAGGAGGAGGGGTGCGAGGAGGAGGAGGAGGAGGAGGAGGAGGAGGAGAAAGAGCAGGAGACGAAGCAGTGGGAGGAGCAAAAGAACCATGAGCCGAGCAAAGAGAAGAGACGGGGAGTAAGAACACGGGCGGAGGCGGGACGAACTTGGAGCAGGGACGGGATCGGGAGACGTGCAATTTCCAGGCTCACGCAGGGCGGCCGACGGCAGCAGTGGCCCTAATTGGTGGGACCCTGGGCTGCGCCGCCGAGGCCGAGGCTCCGCAACCGGCCAGGCTCCTGCTCCGAACCCTACAGGTAGTCCTTCTCCTTTTTGACTTGAGGCAGGTTGAAGCGTCATGGCTGGAGCGTTCGTCCTCATTCTCCTCCTCCTCCTCCTCCTCCTCCTCCTCCTCTTCCTCCTCCTCCTCCCATGCTGCGAGGAAGCGCCGAGCGCAAAATTCGCCGACCCTGTCGGCGTGTGGAAGAGGCTTCTTCGTCTGCCTCCTCCTTGTCGTCGTCCTCGTCCTTCCCCTTTTCCCATAGGGACTTCTCCTTAAGCGTTTCGGTCCAAACCGAAATTGAGCAACGTTGTCATTGAGACGAGGGGAAGCCCCTTGCCTTCGATCCCTTCCCCGGCGCGCGGGGGGGGGAGCATCCGGGGGAGCACCCAGGGGAGGTCCCGGGTCAGATACGCAGCCCCCCCCCCTGAAGATGACCTCCAAGATCGATCATGTAGCCCTCGATGGCTCCAGATCGCTCCCAAGAAACCTACTAGAGGCTCGAAGATCGCGCCAAGACGCCTCCAAATAGCCACGGAGGGCTTCCAAGAACGCTTCCGAGATGGCAGCAGGTAGCCCCGGAGCCTCCCAAGGACGTTCCCGAGAGGCCTAAGCCATTGATTTACCATAGGAAAAACGTACACTGTTGGCCTATACGACTTGTCGGCCTTCACGGCGTTGAAGACAATCCAAGAAGCCCCCAAGAAGGCCCCATCACGGCTCAAGAGGCGTCCAAGAGGCGCCCAAAACGGCCCAATAAGGCGCCAAGACGGCCCCAGAGGCTACCAAGACGGCCTAAGAGGGCCCCGAGAGGGGCCCAAGACGGGGAGCCCGAACCAAAAATCCGAGCCTTCCGCCCAAAGAAGCTCCCTGGAGGCCCCAAGAGGCCCCAGGAGACCCCGAAGAGGCCCCCACGAGGCCCCAAGAGGCCCAACAGATGCCCCAAGAGACACCAAAACGGGCCCTCCTCCACCTCCTCCACCACATCGTTGTCTTCAGGGTCGGCGGCACCGGCCGCAAGGCTGTCGCCTGCTCCTCTTCACCTTCTTCATCGTAAGTATTCGTTTTCGTCTTCTTCGCCTTCCTCTTGGTAATTTTAGCAAATGCCCTGCCTGACATGTCATTACTCCTACCATGATTATTCAACCGGTTCCTCCTCGTGGGGCGAAAAACGTGGGGGGGGGGGGGGGGCCGCCGTTGTCTCGACGGGCCCTCCTCCGCTGGGCGGCAACGGCGCTGGCACCGCCGCTGTCAGGAGAGGCCCTGGCAGAAGCGCGCGGTCATGACCTCCAGGTCCAGGCACTGCGCCCGCGCGGCCGCCGCCTCGTCGCCCGCGGCCGCCTCGGGGGGCTGGGCAAGGCGGTCAAGCCACGATGGCGGTGGACGCGGCTTCGGGGCCGAGTGCTTCCCCTGCTGTCTTTGAGGATTCGGCTTCGTGGGAGGCAGAGCGATGTCGTTTGCTTGTTGCTGGTATCGGCGCGGTATACCCGCTGTGCTTCAACTCGGCGTTGCCTCCCCTTTCTCTCTCTCGCTCTCTCTCTCTCTCTCTCTCTCTCTTTTTTTTTCTCTCTCTCTCTCTCTCTCTCTTTCTCTCTTTCTCTCTCCGCCGTCCCCAGCCTAAACCTCAGCCTAAACCTAGCCTAAGCCTCAGCCTGGCCTAGCTTAAGCCCCCCGCCAAAATTTAGCCGAAGCCTAGCATAAGCCTCGCCCTCGGCCTAGCATCAGCCTCAGCCTAGCCTTTGCCTCTGCCTGAGCCCAGCCTCAGCCTCTGCCTCTACCTAGCCCAAGCCTGGCCTTAGCCTAAGCCTCAGCCTCAGCCGAGAATGATCTTCAGCCTAAGCATTGCCTAAGCCTGGCCTGAACCTCAGCCTAAGCCTCAGCACCAGTCTCCGTTCCACTGCGACCTCAACCCCCAACCTCCGATCTCCCACATGGGCGTAGGGTGCACATATGTGGGCGGTGGGCTCATAATAGTCATCATCTTAAGTTTCATCTACGGTACAACAATTGGCCAAGCTCGGGAGTCCATGTCCGCGTCGAGCCTGGGGTACTCGGAGAGTGCACCTATCTAAAATCGAGAGAGGAATCTGGCCCAAGGCGTACAGCAAAATCGAGCAAGCCAGAAGGTCCCATCGATCCGTACATGTATCGCAGCCGACATGGTCGCAACATCCGTACCTCCGTAACTCTTCCTCCTCCTCCTCCTCCTCCACCTCCTCCTCCTCTTCCTCCTCCTCCTCCTCATTTTCGTCCTGTTCTTCTGCTTCATCACCTCCTCCTCCTCCTCCTTTTCCTGTTCCTTTTCCTCCTCCTCCTCCTCCTCCTTCTCCTCCTCCTCCTCCTCATCATCCCCCTCCTCCTCCTCTGAGTCCTCTGAATCCTCCTCATCCTGCTCCTCCGTTGTGGGACAAGGGGGGGGCCTGTACTGCCTCCAGGTGGCGCAAGTCCGACTCGGCGTCCTTCACAACTTGGTAGGTTGAACGCCCCGTTGGCCAAGGAGGCCCGGGAACGACCGAACGGACGCTCCCGGGATCGGCAAACCAACCTACGGCCCAAGAGCCAACCGAATTCTATAGCTTGCGTTGTCCCGGGGAGAACTGTTTGGTCGTTCCTGGGATCCCTGACGCTAGTGCCCCCCACTCGGGTTATGCTGTTCCCATCGTACTAAAGACCACATCCCGGAAATAATTTCGAGCACCCGGAAAAGCGTCGAAAGAGTGTCGAAACAGTGTCGAAACAGTGTCGGACGAGTCCCCCAGGGCCCGACACGTGAAAACCATAGATTTTCGGTACGTTTTTGGTGCTCGAAATTCTTTCTGGTGGTCAAGGCTAAAGTAGGTTGGAACATCTTAACACTCGGGGTGGCCAACCCGCCAAGGGTGGGTCCTCCACCCGCGAGCGCAGCGGCCCCGAGCAGAGCGGACGGTCCCCCCCGCCGGCCAGAGGGCGCAGCTCCGCGTAGGCGAAGGCCTCCGCGCACGCGGCGCCCTCCTGCCCCAGGCCTACGACGCCTTGCCCAGCGAAGCGGGGCGGGAGATTTTCCAAATCCCTCTTTCATCGTCCCCCGGGCCCGGTTTTGTGAGGCGCCTGTTTTGCAACCGGGGGGGGGGTCCGGATTATTAGGGCGCTCTCTGTGGACTGGAGCTTCGGGGGTCCGGCTTATGGAGGCGCCCCGTGGAAGAGGGGGGCCCAGAATATTAGGTCGCATTTTGAGGGGGGTCTGGCTTTTTTTAGAGGGGGGGGGGGGGGCGACGAGGGGGGGGCGATGAATCAGGGATTTGGGGTGGCTGGATCGCCGCGTCTGGCCCTCGAGGGCCGTTTTCGGGGTCGCAAGGGCCCCTCGGGGACGCAGGCACAGCCCCCCCCGGGGGAGCGGCGCCGAGGGCCTCTGCATGGGGGCCTCGCGCTGGACAGGGCAGGGCGCCGCAGCTCGGGGCGCTCCTCCTGGCAGAGCACCGCGTCCAGCCCGCCGGGGAGGGCGCGCACCCCCAGCGCGCGGCGCACGGCGATGGCCCGCTGGCGCACGAGCCCCAGCAGCAGGGAGTGCCCGCGGTTCCTCATCCTCCGCTCGCCCTCTCCTCGCATCCTCCGCTCCGCCCGCCGCTCGGCCCGCCGCTCGGCCGTGGCCTTCTGCCGCGCCGCCTTGGCCGCCGAGACGAGGCCGTCCTTCCAGGCCCTGATCTGCGCGCCGCTGGCCCCGGAGGCCCTCATCGCCAGCATCTCCTCGCGCTGGCGGAGCGCCTTGTCCAGCGACGTGAACGCGGGCAGGGACACCTTGTTGTTGTCCACGGACAGGAAGGACGAGAAGGAGAGGACGGGGACCCTGCCGCCTTCGTCCCTGCGGGACTCCAGGGCCCTGGAGACGGCGGCCCGCACGGCCTCGCTGAAGTCGGCCCCGCCTCGGCACGCCGAGCGCGACGCCTGCCTGACGGTCACCAGCATGATGTGCCAGTCGATGGCCTCCGGGATGCTTCTGGTGGACTGCGTCATCAAATAGAAGCCGGCGAAGCCGATGCAGGCCACGTAATCGAGGCTGCCCTTGCCGTGCGCGTGGTGCACGCCGCGCATCCGCGTGTAGTTGCGCGAGCCGACCTTGAAGCGCTTGGGCTCCCGCTGCGGCGCTTCGTCCGCGTCGTCGCCGCACGGTGCATCTGCGTCGAAGCCGGCCTCCTCGTCGCAGATCGCGAGCACCGCCGCCGGCGAGAGGCCGAGGTCGCCGCGAGCCCCCTCGTCTGGCGGCTCGTCGCTGGAATCCCCCTCCTCATCCTCGTCCTCCGGTTCGTCCTCCTTGCCCTCCTCTCGGCTACACGCTAGAGTGGCCCTAGGCAAGAGTGATCTTTGATGTGCAACTTTGGAGGGCCGCGGGGGGGAGGGGCAGATTCAAGCGCGCAAGCCTGTGCCAGGGGGACTTCTGTGGGCTCACAGCAATACGGGCCTACTAGATGGGGTCCGGGTAGATGGGGTCGAAGGATCGCGCCGCATCGCCAGTTCATCTCCGATGTATCGGCGATGCCTCGGCGATGCATCGCCGACGTCGGCGATGCATCGGCGACGTCGGCGTGGAGAAGCACGGGCTCCGCATCGAGCCGCATGGTCGATGCATCGGCGATGCGGCGCGATCCTCCGACCCCATCAATTCGGACCCCACCTAGGAGGCCTAAAGGCAGAGATCGCGCCGGCACAGGGTCACTCTGACTTACGCGTAGCGGATCCTCCCCCGCCGCCCCGAGCCCGCCGCGCCCAGCGGACGCGGTCGGCGAGCGGCCCGGCTGGGCGGACCGCGGAGCCGCGGCCGCCCTGCCGCGCGACCGCAGCGAGCGGCCGTGCCCGAGCAGGGCCTCCAGCGCGCGCAGCGACAGAGTGGCCAGCTGCCGCGGCCAGGCCTCGGACTCGCCCGCCGACGCAGGGGGCGACGAACGGCACGAAAAAGGCGCTGCTCCGCCGTCGGCCGCGGCTGCCCCCCCGGGCGGCTGCAAAGCTTACACCACGCGGCACCGCGCGCCCGGGGAGCAGGCGTCCCCGACGGCGGACAACAATCACGTCGCGCCGTTCCTCGCCCCCTCAGACAGGAGCTCCTCCCACGTGGCCGCCGCCGCCCCGCCGGGCGTGCCGGCCCCGCCGGGCGGCTCACACCCCTCGCCCGCGGCCCCCGGACCGCCCGCCTGCGGGGCCTCGCCGCGGCCGCTCCCCGCAGCGCTGGCTCCGGCGGTGGTGGCCTCCCCGCCCGCCCCCCTGCCGGGGAAGCCAGAGGCACCGATGCCGCTGAGGGGCGCGCTCTGGCCAGGACTTCGAGGCGGATCCAGCGGCGGCGACGAGGGCCTCGCAGGAGGCCCAGAGAGGGGAAAACGAGGGCAGGGCAACTTGAGCAGGGACCGACCGTCCCGGCATTCCTACAGTCCTGCCACCAAGTGTTCTTCGAACCCAAAAATAAGTAATGTTCCTAGAACATCATTCCGATGTGCTAAAACAAGACAGGCTCCGCCAGAAATGTTCTAAGCACATTCCGTGGAAACCACACACGGCCCTTAGCACACTTCTTGGTCGGGCTATAGCAGGCGAGCCAGGACGCCTCGCCACTGCTTGAGAGGGCAGGGCAACGGCACGCGTACCTCCAGGACTCCGAGGCGGGCTCCCGCGGCGGCGACGAGGGCCTCGCGGGAGGCCCAGCGAGGGGAAACCGAGGGCAGGGCAGCGGCACGGGCGCCTCTTCCTCCCCTTTAGCCTCCGCGGGCGGGGCGCCGCCCGCCGCGCGGCGCGGCCCCGCGGCCCGCCCGCGGCCGCCGCGCCGCCCCCGCCGGCGCGGGCGGCGCCGCGGCCGCCGCCGCGCCCGCGGCCGGGCGCCTCCGGCCGCGCGGCGCGGGGGCCGCCGCGCGGCGCGGGGCGCCGCGGCGCGCGCGCCTCGCGGCCGCCGCCGCTGTCGTAGCGGGCGCGGCGCTCGGCGTCGGAGAGGGTCTCGAAGGCCTCCACGGCCGCCAGGAACGCCTCGGAGCTGCCCCCCTTGTCCTCTCGGCGCCCGGAGTGGAGGAGCGGGCAGCCCACGCCCATACCCACAGGAGAGGGCCCGAGGGAGGATGACTGGCTGTGCGTGTCTGGTTGCGGGCTGTCGGACCCTGGTACGGGGCTCCCGTTCGAACGGGGACCCCTGTCCGACAACACGCATCCACAGCCCCCTCCGCCCCGCCTACGGGTATTAATGTGTCTTGTTGTTCGTCGGAAATCGGTACGGAAACATGGGCACAGTGCCAAACAACGAGCGTTGTCCAAAACCGACGGCGGCCGCTGTTGGGCAGGCGCCCGGGCCTCGCCCATCCCCTGGACCTGGACCCCTCCCTAGAAGGCTTCGCCCCAACTCAACATCATCACTCGTACCTCGCTCTTTCCGCCACCAGAACGTCATCAATGGTGCCTCGCTCTTTCCGATATATTTATGCGCGACGCGAAAGACTCGCGCTCTTGTCGTCGCAGAAAAACGTCCGCGGCGGCGCGGACGCGGTTGGGCATCGTACCCGTTCGCTTCGACCGCCCCGACGTCCGGGTGCGTGGCGAGGGCGGCGCGCCGGTAGGCGGAGCGGATCGCCGCGTCGTCGGCGTCGGGGGACACACCCAGCAGGTCGTACAGGCTCTGCGGGGGCGCCGCCGCCACGGCCGGCGACTGCATCGGCGCGGCGCGGGCACCGCCGCGGGCCGCATGACCAGGTTTTCCAGCGCAGGTCGCGGACCAGGAGACCTCGAGCCGGCAGGACGAGGGGAGGAAGCCAGGGCCCTGGCGGCCCGTCTGCAGTCTGCACTGCGAGTCTTCGGTCGCATGAACCGCAGACCTGCAGGTCGGCCCAATCGCATGCGTGATTGAATCGATCGAATCGGGCCCCCTGAGAGGAGGAGGAAAGTCGGGTACATGGTCGATCGCTGCCGCGCGCAGGCACTGGCACGCGCCGTGCGCTTGACCTAGACGTGGACAGCGTTGCCCTATGCCCCCTTGGAGTCCAGCCCCCAGACCTGCCCTGGAGCGCGCTCTGACGGGGACTCTGGAGCGAATCCAGCCGTGGCGGCGAGCGCCCCGCAGGAGGCCAGACAATGGAAACACGTCAAAACTCCTCACCGTCCTCCTCGTCCTCGTCACTGACCTGCTCCTCCCCCACTCACTCCCGCTCAAGCTCCTCAGAGCTCGCCTTCGTTTTACCAATGATTGCACTGACCTGGAGTGTCAATCACGATGGGCGCTCGCGACCGCCGTGGTCTGCAAA